TAGAGATGGCATGAACTTCTACTTTTGAATCACTCGTGATTCAATCACGTTCATTCTCAATCACGATGATTTTTCACAGTGATTCATGATTTTTCGTAATCGCTTCTGATTGGTACAGAACATTCTGTTCACTTTTCACGAATTATGTTGTTCTTAGATTCATAATTCGTGAAAAGTGAACAGAATGTTCTGTACCAATATATATATATAATCTAAGAACAACATAATTCGTGAAAAGTGAACAGAATGTTCTGTACCAATATATGTATATATCATCGTGATTGAGAATGAACGTGATTGAATCACGAGTGATTCAAAAGTAGAAGTTCATGCCATCTCTAGCGTCAATGTTCTTCGATTAGGGATGGCTTACAAAATCACTAACCGTTATTTATCACAGTGATCGCAAAATCAGGATCACGATGGTGATTTATTCACGAGGGTGATCGTGATTTAATTTCATACACGAGCGTGATCGTGGTTCTTTTATCTTGTTAGAATTGCGTGATCACAATTCTCGATCTTAATTAAATTACTTTTTGTAAAATGTTTCAATATACATAGTTTGCATAGAAAATCCGGATATAATATCAATTTCAATTACCTGTATTAAGTAAATTAGTAGATCATTTATTTTGCGTGGTGGCTACTTTAGTCTCGTTAGAAAGAATATTTTCTAAAGCAGGATTACTTTTAACGGAAAAAAGAAACAGATTGCAAGCAGAAAAATGATCTATGCTGTTATTATTGAACAGCGATACATAGTTACTTATATGTTATTATATATATATATATAGGATCCGTATTACGTTTTATGTATTAATTACATTATTTTCTAACAGTGTTACATTTTGTAAAAGTCTAAAGACGCTTACAACTAAACTAAGACTTGCAATTCATAATTATAGGCTTATATTCATTACTCTTCACTGTTCCTCATTAAAGCATTCCTTTATTTACTATTCTTTACTTTACTTTATTTTATGCGGTGTAGGTAATTCGCATTTTTGTTTTGATGTCGTTAATTACATACTTATGTATAATATATATGTAAAATAAACAGGTTAGGGTGTTTTTCATTACGGTGCATTTATATTTAGGCTGAAGTTTCTAACGACGCGTGCAAGGAACGGTTATGTTCTTCACCAATCAGAAGCGATCACGAAAAATCACGAATCACTGTGAAAAATCACCGTGATTTGCAACGAACGTGATTGAATCACGAGTGATTCACAAGTAGCAGTTCTAACCATCTCTAGATCTCTACCTTCGATGCACGTCGAGTCACTTGTTCGTGTACGAGCTCGGCCGCTTGGCGCGTAGCCTTCGCTACCGCAGTCGCTCCAACGGTCTACGCGCGCTCTGATTGGTTCTCAACGAAGCCTCGGACAACATTTTCGCTAAGGAAAAAGTTGTTTCAAATCAACTCCCGAATCACCCCTTTCTCAAGGTGTTACAACATTTTTGGGACACCCTATATTTGCTCCAGGCGGAGTTATATTAACATCCCGACATCGAGATATCGGTACAATATTCGGATATCCAGATTTTTCATTCGAGTATCCAAATATTCGAATAACCGGATTATCCGAATAGTATGAAAACTCGGATGAATCTTTGAGCAAAATACGGAATTCAAATAATACGGAAAAATACAAAAATATGCAATTGAAAAAATACGGAAAAGATACGCAATTCAAAAAATACGGAAAAATACAGAAAAATACAAAAATAGGCTATTCAAGAAATACGGAAAAAATACGGAATAATACAAAAATACGGAATTCTAAAAATAAAAGTTGTTACAAATAAAAAATTATCTAATATACATACATTTGTCCAGTTATTTTTTTTGGTTAACATTGATATTAAACAGAAAAAGGGAATTTCGCTCTCTTTTTGTACACAAAATGCATTCATATAAATTAGGGCAGCAAGTCTTTAGCACCGGAAAAGTGCAAATCGCTATGCATTTTCTAATTGAAAATTTTTGAAAGTTTATTTTTAACGATCACGAATAAGTGTTGTAACATTTTTATAACTGAATTATATCTTTACATTAGCAAAAAAAAGAACATGTAAAGACAAATTTTATCTAAAAAAATACAATCCAGATTACAAAATATATCTTTATGCATTCGTGAATGTGTTTATAACACTAATAGTGTTTTGTAATTGTTTAAAATATCACATTGAATTTAAGTATTACTAAAATTCTACATATATGCGTTTCAAATTATAAATTCACGAGCAATTGAATTTATTTACAATCGAGCCTCTACTCGTAGTTATTTATTCGGTTCGATGATAGAATCATGAGTGATTAATATTAAAAATACGTTAAACTATATTTTCTTGGTATCGTTTTTGTCTATATACAGATTTACGTTCTTTGTGCATGTTAAAAATATTTTCCTTGTAAGTTATTCGTAATTTGATGATTCAATAAGTACATTTAGGTCAAAAATAAATAACCTAAACATTGGGAAGCAGTTAATGAAATGTAACAATTGATAAAAAGGATCGATAACTATTGGGTTGTCCGGAAAATTCATGGCTGAAAACAAATAACATATATATGTACATCCCTTAAAAGGTGGAAAGGTTGTGGAACAAAATAGTACCTACGTAATTCAATAAATATACATATAAATAAATGTATATTACAATTCAAATATGCCTCTGAAGTTTTCTTAAAAATTGGCACGAACTTTCTGGACAACCTAATACATTCGTTAAACAAAACAAAGATCATTATTTTATGTTCTACGTACAAATGGAAATATAAAACACAAATGAAGATTCAAATGAAGATTCAAATTTTACACGTTATTTATTAGCTAAATCCACGAATTAATAGTATTGTTTTATGAATTATAGTTAAAAGATCGAGATAACACATCACTCATACTATAAAATATAATCGTAACTGCAATAATGTGTATCAACTTCGAAATTTACAATTTTAATGCGTTCATTGGGATATTTTACGAACAAGTTTATTATTATTATTATTATTATTATTATTACTTTTCTTATTATAATTATTATTGATAGCAGAAAATAATGTTGCACAACAGTCAATGCACACTAAATTCATCAACAGCGTTGAGTACAATGTGACAGTTTCCAAGAACAACTCTAAAATCGAAAAGTTGTTTTATGGATTGTTAAACAAAAATTTATATGAATAAAGTATTTAATTTTTTAAACAATTTAATACATACAAGTTCTTAGTCATTCACGACTTTTACACTTTTTATTTGAATAAACGATAATAAGTAATTATTTATATAATTACAATATTAACTAGATCATAAATATCACTCTGCAAAAAAATGTATACATTAATTATATATTTATTTTGTAGTGTATTGATTTATTTGTAAATAAGCAAATAAATATACTAGTATCAATAAAAGTATGTCATAATATATGTTACAATCTTAGTAGACTTCTTATACTTTTTGAAAAATATCGATATTTCAATACAAAAAAAAAAAAAAAAAAAAAAAAAAATGTGAATGATAAAACAATTTTGTTTAAAACTATTCGTTCAAATATATTCGTTCGGTGTTATACATGCTAGATTTTACATTTACAATAAAATATGACTTATTATTTGATAATAATAATCCATAAATAGTAAGTAACAATCATTTGAAAGAATTGAAAAGAATTTAATCCTACTGAAAAGAATTTAATCCTTAAAATAATCATCTCTAAATTTATTTTACATAGCAACTTATACTTCAATAAAGCTACAAAAATCGTTTATACCAGTTTAGTTTGAAGACTTCTTTTTCAGTAACATCGATAATCTTTGTTTATTAACCGACTTCGAAAAGGAGGAGGTGAAAATTCAAAACTCAACATATATATTTATTTTTTTTTTTTGTTTCAATAATATATTTTTAGGAATTACTAGTATAAAGTAAGATCTGTTTTCTTCTATACTAATTATGCATTTGTAGTTTGTTTTATAAAGAGAACGGATATACTACCTGAAATGTTAAATAAATGAATCACTATTACAACATTAGATTAAAGACAAAGAAAGTTTAGTTGATTTCACATAATCCAAAATAATTGAGCGCAAAAAAATATAACACAACATATTGCTAATTTTATGATAATATAAAGATTAAGCGTTCGTTGTTCTTGTAAATGTTCGAGATACACGTAATTAAGTTGTTAACATTATTTATTTATTTCGGGCAGCAACAAGAACATAAAGTTAATTATTGATTAACTGTATAACGTTCTAATCATAAAGCTGTACGTTCTTCTTCAGCTATAAACAAACCTTATATTAAATTGAAACATAAAGATTATCAAGTATAAAGAAAGGAAAAAAAAATATTGTTGTGATGCAATATAAAAGGAAAAATGAAATATTTTGACAATAATAAGTATTTATATATGTGAAGGTGGAAAAATTTAGAATATTTAAAAGATGATAGTTTTTTAGTGTTAAATATGTTTATGCTTATTTTAAATAAACTTGTTTAAAATTGTTAACTTCTATTGTTTGAAATTATAACTACAAATATAAAATATAAAATATAATTCAATGTGTAAAAAACAGTTACTAGTACTAAGTTATAAAAAGGTGTGAATTACTATCATGTTTGTACGGAAATTTGAGTGACTCAAATATTGAATGAAGCACATATGAAAGAAAATAATTAAGAAAATTTAGAAAACAATAACTTATAGACTAAACCCTATTGAAACTTATTATTCATTTCAAAGTTATTAAAAGGTATGAGTTACTATGATGTTTGTACGGAAATTTGAGTGACTCAAATATTGAATGAAGAACATATGAAAGAAAATATAATTACGAAAATTAAGAAAAATACAATTTATAGACTAAACTTAATTCAAACTTTGTATTTTTTTAACTGTATAAACAGAATTTATAGATTCTCACTTCAAGATTTAACTTAATATACAATTTACATACAAATATCATAATAATTCTCACATACTTAATAACGTTTTTGTTTTCATCTTCGTGTTTGAGAGGAATTACATCTTTCCATAAATTAATTCTGCTAATAACTTTCCATCTTTCCATAAATTAATTCTGCTATGAACTTTATAAATCTAGTAGATTCCGTTGTAATATTTGTAGGTCTCCAAAGAGAATTCTAAAACAAAGAGTCGACATGTAAAATCTACAACAAGCTAAACCTTGCAATTAGCAAGACAAATGAATCAAATTTAAAATTTGCACTCTGTCAATAATAAATTTAAAGATATTTATAATTCCTGGCTGTAATGAAATACAAAGTTAAAATTGTTTATTTCGTTATTTAACGAGTTAATCAGGTCTCGGTCGGTCAGGTTCGGCGCGTTACGAATGATACGAGGTGCCTTGAGGCCATCGCTAGTCGAGGGGGCTCCCTCTTCGGGGGAAACGAGCAGGAGAGACCGATCCCGTGGCGTGCAGGAAGAGACAAGGCAGTGGGAGAGAACGAAACGTATATACCAGTACCACGGTCCGCGGTCTCGTGGATCTGCCTACACTCTGCACCAGCACTCTGCGACCATTCCGCAGTAACACGTCGTCCAAGTCGGTTTCGTAGCGTTCCGCGGTCCCTGGCCTCTTGCCACGAGGCACCAGTGCTCACCAGTGCTCCCCGAGATGCTACAAGAAGCGACCCGCTCACGGGCCGGCTTCCACTGATCCTTGCTACCTCTAAAAAAACATTCTTCAGCCAGTTCTACCCGAGTAAAAAATCCAACGGTCTAACAACGGAATTCACGGTGTCAAATACGGTTCGGCTTCCTTGAACTCGGTGGTATATCACAACGGCGGTGATGTTGGGCCCGTGGTGAACGGTGAACAGGACTTTGACGAACGTACAAGGATCTCGCGGTGATTCTCCGTGTATTCAGAGCTCGGTGCTCGGGCTTAACAAGGACAAGTGTTTTGGGAAGTGTTTCGACAAGTGTACTCTCTGTGCAGTGACGTTCGGTTTTTTTCGAATCGACGAGAGGATGACGAGCCTCAGAACGGATCCGGAGGATTTCAGTGCGAATGATGTACCTGGATGCTGCGGAGAGCGGAAGTGACAGGGATATTTCGTATTTCGACGGGCTCGGGGAACGACTCGGAATTAAAATGTGTTTCGTCGGTGGTTCGAGCGATTGTTTCGGGTGACTCTTTCGGGACCGATTACTTAGTAAACAGGTGACTACTATTATATTTCGTTTTACGCAAATATTAGGGGGACCGAAAAATAATATCATTTCTTGTACATTAAATTCAAACAAATCGCCAGATCGATAAAGGTAAATGAATCGATAATGATAAACAAGTATTGAGATTCGCAGAAATGACATTACTTTCCAGTCCACCTAATACTTCTACCCGTGAATGCAGCGGATGTAGAAAGTATTCGTACACCGATCAATTTTCAAAAAAACTATATGAAATCGTGATTTATTAACTTTTCTTTTTATAAACAATGATATTCCACATATTCTTGGAAATCTCTAAAATAGATACAGTACGAAAAGACTAGGTATTTTGTATAAGTGAGAAATCAACAAGAAAAAACAATAAATCGATAGAAATACAGAAGCAATAAGTATTCGTACAAGTGTTAAATTTTTTAAACTTTGTTTAAAAAAAAAAGACGAAATTTACATTAAGGAAAATTATAAAAATTTGTATACGGGTTAGATTTTATCCCAAAAACACTCACACAAATTTTGGGAAGGCTAGGGTACCTAAAAACTAAGAAATCAATGTTTCAATTTTTCATATTTTAACGTGGACTCTTATGGGAAAATGTGTTTTCAACAGACTCAATTATGTGTTACAAAGTAATTGACGCCGAAATTAGATCGACAATTTTATGCATAATAAAAAAATATCTAAAGAACATACACTACGGTGCATAACTATAGCACCGCTACAATTTTCGTGCGTTTTGTAGATTTAATTAATAATTTCTAATTTTTAATAGTATCATGCGAAGGAGGCTAAAAATATATTATAGCAATGATAAAACGGCGAATATAACATTTATTTAAAACAACTAATAATAATACTATACATATATATGTATATTTCATGGGTGCACAACTATAGCACCAATGGAATTATAACATAATAACAATATTAAATTATAATGTATTAATATTAATAATCAGTAGGACCTCCTTTCTTCTCGATTAATTCAAAAATGCGACTTGGCATACTCCCAACTAGTTTTTTTTCAAAATTTCATCGTTAATTTCATTCCAGGATTTTAGTACAACTTCTTTTAACTGCGAAATGCTCGAAAATTGTTGGTTGAGTGCATAAATACGCCATACCATCATACCCTATAAATTTTCCATCGGATTTTGATCCGGGAAGCATGTTGGCCAGTTTAATAAATTTATATTAAGTGCTTGAAACCACCTTGGTGTTGTTCGACTTTTGTGTATTGGGCCATTATCTTGTTGATACGTCCAAATAATATGGTTCTTCGAATGAATAAACGGCAACAAAATCTTCTCCAATATTTCAATGTACTCAAAACTATTAATTCTGGATGAAGGAAATGCTAATTCCAGCTTGCCACTCGAGCAAAACGCAGCCCGTACCACTAACGTTCCCTCTCCAAAATTCCGTTTAGAGAAAGATTTTGAGTCTTTTCGAAGGTCTCTCCAGTAACAATTGAACCATAACATTGATCTGGGCCATCGAGATTAAACTTTTTCTGATCGAAAAATATTACCTAACGAAGAACGTTAAATGGAAGAAAATAATGTCACCTCTTAATTTGTCGATTAACATTAAACATGTATGATCCCAGTTTTTATTCATATTTTCGCGGGCGTATTCCATTCTTGCTATTTTGTAGCGTCTAGAAAGAACGGGTGGTGAAATTAGTTTTTGTCTGACAATGTTTGGATTCCTTCTAAAGACACGTTGAATGGTCCAACGTGACACTTGGAGTCTACATTTCGCTGCAATTTCCCGACAGCTTTTCAAACTATTGCTCCCAATTTTAATAATCTGTCTCTCAGCATGTGGGGATAGTTTCTTCTTAGGCCCTCCTTTCTTATTTTGCCCATATTTCGACGGATTACGTAAAAAATTTGATATTACTTTAGGGAATTGCCCAAGTTCACGTCCAATTTCCCTAATTCCCAGTTCTAGCTTGTTATAAGCTAAAATTTCACCTTGCTCTTTCTCAGTAAGATATTTACCGCGTGGCATTGTATTAATTAATAAATACAACTCTGAATTGGATGAAAATGTTGTGACAAACACGCTTGAAATGCGATGAAAATGAAGGTGGTGCTATAGTTTTGCACCGATTCTGTAATTTTTTTCGACTTTATCTCGATATATGTTTAGAGTAGTTCAGTATACTTCGTCTGAAATTAATTATTTACATCGCTTTTTCATATATTATTCAACTACTTTCTTTGAATTTTTCTTTTATGTTTAAAAAATCTGAAAAATATTAGTGGTGGTATAGTTATGCACCGCAGTGTATACTGATTTACAAAATACTCCAGGGGTACTTGTAGTATTAATAATAAATTAAAGAATACTGGGATAATGCGTTTTGTCTTCTGCTATTGACATAGTACGAGAGGTTAGAAAACGCGCGTTCAAATACAAACAGTACTGTAGTTTGTCTAAAAATAATTGATTTATATTACTTTATGATACAATATAAATACAATAGATATAATGACGACTAAAAATCAATGTTTAACATAATTTTTTTTTTATTTTGGTCGGGAGGTGATTTGAAACAACTTTTTCCTTAGCGAAAATGTTGTCC